CAAACTGTATTGACAAATAAGAAATGATGATGGGGCTAGATGAGGATCACCAGAGTTACTACGATGACTCCTGAGGGGAACATGAATGTCTGAACCAAATTTCCTTAAAATCCAAGTTTGTTGAGAAATTGGATTTGAGATTGAGATTCAGTCTGGACCAAAGCGGTCGACCGACAGACAGAGTGACATTGCCATAGTGACATATTCTTCATGTAAAGTGAAATTACAGTCATTTGCACAGGGAGAACAAATTATATTTCCATAATCTAGCAGTCATATAAGCATTAGTCTCAACTGCTGCTGAATGACACTCACTGATACCAGTGTGTGAACTTTCATGAAGCCCATAGCTGAAAAAACCCATTTTGGAACCACTCATTCAAGAAGAAGATAGAAAGCAGAAAATAAGATGTCTTTCCTAATTGTTGAAGATGGGTTTTATTCAGTTGCTGACATCCACAGGGATTTTCTTATCTTTATTTTCATCTGATGTATCAGAAAGTCTGTTGCAGTCCATATCTGTATGACTATGCCATTGGTTTACAAAGTGATAATACAGCTTAATGTCTTTGACTGATACACATCTCCCCCTCCAGTCAGGGGTCTGAATGGAAGGCTCCCAGCTGGCTGATTTGATTAAAGTGAGACGGAGCTTACCAACAACATGTAGAGAAGCACCGTGTGTAGAAATAACAAGAGGGGAGTTTGAGATGACAGACAGATAAATTCACTGAGGGATCCTATTTAATTTGACATTCCTAGATGGAACGAGGCTCAACTCTCTCTCTCTCTCTCTCTCTCTCTCTCTCTCTCTCTCTCTCTCTCTCTCTCTCTCTCTCTCTCTCTTCCCCCCTCTGTGTAACACTTATACATATACACACACACACACACACACACACACACACACACACACACACACACACACACACACACACACACACAGTGGTACATCTGACCTGTGCAGGTTGATTTCCCCTGGCTTTAGCTGTGATGTCTCAATCTGTTCCCTGCCATATTAACATTGGGGAGAACACTAACCCCCCATCACACTCACAGACAAACCCATGTATTCTGTGGGATGTTATGTATCGTACACACTTCCACCAGGGGCTTTGCTTCGCTTCTTGACATCTTTCATTGTACACTATAATCCTGTGAATTTGTGAGCATGCAATCCTGTGTGCATGCATGTGTGTGTGGGTGTCAATGTGTGCAAATGCCATTTCAGCAGGGGGCCGACCCCCACTGCAGGTGACATTTTTACTGGAGAAATGTCACCACAGCCATTTTCTTCCCATATGTTTGTTTGTGTGTGTGTGTGTGTGTGTGTGTGTGTGTGTGTGTGTGTAAGTGTGTAGGGTGTGTGAGTGCGAGTGTGTTTGATTGGGTCTTGGCAAGCTCCAATTGATTTCACAGGAGAGGCATGTTATGTTCCAAACAGCAGAATATCTTGCTGCCTTGGTTCCATGTCCTCTCCTTCTTTAAATACCCATTTCTTTCCCAACCACTGCAATGAGCAAATATGTCAAGAAGGGAATTTAAGAATTAGCATTTAAATATGGATAAATTGAAGCCAGGATCACAGTTAGCTTAGCTTAGCATAAACACTGGAATAAGGGGGAACAACTAGCTTGGCTCTGTCCAAAGGTAACAAAATCCCAAAGTTGTATTTCGTCTGATCATTACAAAAACAAAGTTGTGATCTAACGGGGTGTTATGTTCCAGGCTATTTCTTGGCCTGGAGCCAGGCTAGATGTCCACTTGTTCTGAATGGGTCTCGGAGTGTGAGGTCAAAAAAACAAATCTATTTTAAATGCTTAGCTATCTGATGTTGGACTTTTATTTAGACAGAAAAGCTTCCACAAATGTCTGTTAAGAAATTACTGATGGTTCATTTTATTCATATTCATAAGAATCAGCAGCATGCAGTTGTGATATTCATATTCAGTTAATTATTAGAGTAATGTGCTCTGATTGCAGGGATGAAAACATGACACTGTACATGTGTTAAATTTGCTTGATTTAAGTGGGTCCCAACTTAATGGACATGGTAAAATGTGGGTCCCAAGGTGACACCAGTTGAGAGCCACTGTATTAAGACATATACAAATAGTCTTTTTTTAACAATAATGTGTGTCTGATATGTTTTTTTTCCAAATTTCCAAATTAAAATCCTTAAAAAGGCATCTACTCCTACCTCACTGCAAATTCCAGAATATATTAATATGCACGTTTTGTTCATTTTCTTGTTGGACACAAGATGTCTCCTACTTCACTGTAAAGTCCATCTCAGTGTATGTGCACTGGAGGCTTCAAGTTTCTACATTACACTGTCCAAACTATTTGTGATGTAACAAATCATGCTGGTAGGCCCCATCCCTTAAAATCTGATTTCCATTGAGCACAGAGAAACTTTCCACTTTCAGTAGATGAATTTGAAAACATCCCTCTGGTGTCAAACACTGCACATACATCATTCTGTACATTGAAGCTCAAACATCCAACTGTAGGAACAAGAAGAAAAAACATATTTTTGAGTGGAGGGGGACTTTCCAGATACTGTTTTTTCGTCGTCTCCATTTGCAGTTGAATCAGGATGGGCACGCTGCCAACAGGGCAACAGGAAGACAAAGTCGATACGAGGCTAAAACGACTGGACACCTTAATCAAAGGTCCATCATAACACAGATCCCACAGAATGATTACTGTGAGAAGTCCACGTGACTGTGAAAAGGGGGGTGTCTGACAGTTGTAATTACACAGTAGTAGCAGCAGGCACATTTACACAACAAGGCGGGCCAGACAAGCTAATCACTTCTTTCACAAGATCACAGAAGATCATAGTGGGATGAAACAGAAGCCAGAACGTGAAACAGAATGAGAGACAGACGGACTGTGTGAAGAAGGTTAATGTGTATGTGGTCTATAATGTATACTGTATATGTGGCTTTTGTGTAGGGGTGTAAGTATTTTTTTGGCTGTTGTGTGTGTGTGTGTGAGTGTGCTCGTAAATATGTTAGTGTGAATCAGTCTCCCTGACAACTGAGGGGACATCTGTCACCTCCATATGGAGAGAAATGGAGACAAAGGCTCAAACGATGGTCGAGGTGGAAAACCTCAGCACATAAAATAATCAGTCGCACAAAAAAACAAATAATACAAAACAATATGATTGAGAGATTTCTAAATGCTGCTCATGTGAAAGCATAGATCTGCTCATACAGAAGACTGCTTTATCTTACAGCTTTAACGATTGATTTTAGAGTAACATTTTGATATAATATGTATATTGTATCATAGCAGACAGGGGAGAGTGAAAAGAGTGAACAAATAACTAATTTTATTGAGTATTTTCTCTGTGTTTTTCTGATTAAATGTTTGTTATGACAAATTCTACTGAATGAACTTGAGGTCTGGGTCTGGAATTTAATATAAATGTCAACACACAGACATTTTTGCTTAAATTACACAATAACTGAGTATCCCAGTAACAGAATGGATACAGCACATCCCACCTGCTGTAACTACAAGGTCCCAGGTTGATCCCAACCTTTGTGGCATTTCATCCCCCCGTCCTTCTCCCTCCCCTTGTTTCTGTCTGCATTTTCACTATCGACTGTCCAATAAACTGACAAAAAACTAATATTGTCACACATGCATGTATGCAGGTAGACACAGACAGCTAGACAAGTGCTCACAGATAGAAAATGTCCACCTTTGTACACAAAAACACAACAGTACATGTGTGGGGTCCTTTTCCCTCTGTGTGTACCGTAATGGACAGTGCTGTTTGATGTTAGATTTTGTCCTCCATAGTCATTCATTTTCCATCAGTGATGGACTCACACACACACACACACACACACACACACACACACACACACACACAGACACACAGAGTCAGTGAGCCTCTCACTCAAACTGTGGAGGAGGGGGCACTAAAAACTCATTACATGGACGATCAATATTGCACACACTTGAGAAGCATGAAACCCCCCAACATCCACAACACACACACACGTTTCACCAACCGTTGGCAACGGTGACAGATGACTTTTGTCAGCCTGAGATGTGTTACCGTGGTAACCATTAGGCTGCATTCTGGTATGGTGTGGTAGGGGTGAGACACACACACACACACACACACACACACACACACACACACACACACACACACACACACACACACACACACACACACACACAAACACACACATACCAGTACATATATTCAGATAAACTGGCCAAGGTCATGATAAGATATTACAGTTCAATATTTTAGAATCACTTTAAAATGTATTAAATTGAGAGTTACTGCCAGCCCGGGCTGCATATATATATATATATATATTTAATAAAATTAATAATCAAAATCAACACTTTTGTTTTGGTATAACACCAGTGTTTCCATACTTCACTCAATGGACCTATATTGTAAGTACGCAACATAAAATAAAAGGCTCAGTACACTAATGACTAACTAACTAACTAACTAACTAACTAACTAACTAACTAACTAACTAAACTTACACTAATAAAATTAACAATTTAATGAACAGACTAGATTTGGCAATGCTTTTTTTAAAAAAGGGATAAAATGAGACACAGTTATGTCTTCAGGAACTGGCTAAATTAAAGCAGAGGATGACGTCTGAGACAGCCGAGATGTCTGCTGAACACTTGGAAATTGGTTTAATTGCAAGAGATCTTTCTGACTAACTTCTAGCCAGTGGAAAAACAACATGTCGGGCACTTCATTTGAGACACATCAAAGCAATGTGTGATGGGCCATGACCAGGCATCCAACTACAGTACCAAAGGCAGAGTTAAAAATGAATGGAGGTTAATTAGCACTGTTCTCAAACATGTCCTCCATTTTGAAAAAAACAGCACATAAATACGTCTTTGGTTCTTATTTGCATTTATGATGTATACTGTGTGGTTGACTTGTTGGAATTCCCTCCAAAACTACTGACAAATAAAAGATATGTTTCCTTTACCTTTCCAAGCCCAGGGGTATCCTTGATTTTGTTGGCTGCACGGAGAAGGCAGGGTGGAGCCGGGGGTGGGGCCATCAACAAGGCCGCGCTAAAATTGGTGGGGAACAGAGGGGGGTCACATGACGGTGATGATGATGTCACTGGGGCTGTGACTGCAGTGGTCTTCTGCTTCTTCTTCTTTGACGCTAAGTTCAATTTTTGTGCAGCTCTGAGAATAAAGCCGAGAGAGAGAGGAAAGTAGGGAGAGACAAGGAGAGGAGACCGTCCATCAATCAAATTAATACGTAAAAATATAAACATAAACACTAAATAGTTTAAATGGAAACATAAGAAAATGAGGAAGGACAGGATGGATGGTGGCACATGTGCATGCACCCATGGGTCTATAATTACACCCTCATAGTTTGCCACAGTACAACCATGGCAAATATGTAAATTGCAGAATAGAACTTGATTACACACCCATCAACACACACACACACACACACACACACACACACACACACACACACACTGCTGTTTACATATGTAGCAGCATCTGGATGGGGAGTGGTTCATTTGCTTTCTTGCTGCTCAATTCCCTGTGGCATTCGGCTCAGAAAGAGCCACCAAATATTATATTTATATATACTCCATCTCTTCAGCGCTCAGATTCTCCTTACCCGCTCTCTCCTTTTAACTTCAGCTTTTCTAAATCTCACTTCTTTTTGCTTCTGTTCTCCTCGCTCTCACATTTCTTACTTCAACACAGCAGGTTCTTCCTGTCTGCCTCTCTCAGCCCAATGGTACTTCACATCATCTTTAGTTTTAACCTTATCAACTCTCTTTCTTTCTTTCCCAGCAGTAATATATAACCGGCTGAATTTCTGCTTTAACCTACATGAAAGGGATATGAGGAAGCAGTTATTACAAAGCACCTGTGGTGGAAAGTTACGTTACTTTAAGTATATTTACTCAAGTACTGTATTATACAAGGCTGTAGTATTCTTTACTTGAGAACTTCCATTTAATGCTACTTTACACTTCTACTCCATTATATTTGAGAAATGTCAGACTTTGTACTCCTCTACTTTTATCTGACATTTACTTTTAGGATTAAGATTTTATATTTAAAAACACAAGTTAATAAAATATATTGCATTGTTTAAGATCAAACTAGTGGCTCACTGTGTCTAACGCTTGTCATTACAGTAGTTACAAAACAGTAGTGTCTAGTTGGGGCCCTTTGTCACGTTTCAGTTTTAGTTAGTTATATCTTTTAAATTAATGTTGAAGGCCGGAAGAGGTTGTGGTGGCAATTTGTTAAATAAAGCATACAAAGTAGGATCTTGTCTCTGTAAGGTTTTATTCATGTCATCCATGAATGGACTCAAGGCAACCGTCACACGCTCTTGTATGTAAAAGTCCGAAAGAGCCAAGATTTGAAGAAACAGTATGGTTTTATCCCTGTTGGAGCGTCACTCTAACACAGTTACACATTTCTGAGTTCTGGGACAGTAAACAGACAGATAGTGTGGTGCGATGATCATGTCCTTGGCTTCTTAGTGAGGTCTTAACATCCCACTGTCTACTTGGACATAGAGTGTAGTTAGAAACAGGACTAAAGGTTATATGTATATAATAGCCTTAACAGTATGTATATGGTTTACAATGACCAGGTCAAAGAGTTGTACAGGTTCTTAAAAATTGCCATTACAAGGTCCAGCTCTCCAATGTTTCACTAAAAAACAACAATTTAAAAAGTTTAGAGAAAAGTTTAAACTGAACTTTACATCAGAACTGTGTGTTGTCTTTTTTCCTCTTCCATTAATTATCTTACAAGATGATCATTTTTGATCAAGTAGTCATTTTTCTGGTGGTCCTTTGGAGAGGCCCAACCCCTAGCTAGCTGTAGTTGTAGGGGCAACTTTGGCTCAGGGGGGTCACCTGGTAATTGGAGGGTTGCTAGTTTTGATTCCAATTGAAGTGTCTTGGGAGAGATGGGGTTACCAATGGCTGTGAGTCTGTGTATATGTGAGCTTAGTGTCACTGTGAGCACTTTGAGCGCTGTCTTGCACCTGACCCTTCTCATGATAGCCTCTGTCATGGTAAATGGTAAATGGACCTGTACTTGTATAGCGCCTTTCTAGTCTTCCGACCACTCAAAGCGCTTTTACACTACGTGCCACATTCACCCTTTCACTCAGTGATGGCAAAGTCCATCGAACAGAAACTAACATTCATACAACGATGCACGGCATCGGGAGCAATTCGGGGTTCAGTATCTTGCTCAAGGATACTTCGACATGTGGCACCAGGAGCTGGGGATCGAACCCACAACCTTCCGATTAAGGAACGACCCGCTCTGCCTCTGAGCCACAGCCGCCCCTCAGGCGTCATCAGCATGTGAATGGGTGAATGTGTTGTAAAGCGCTTTGAGTGGTCAGTAGACCAGAAAAGAAATAAATAAACTATAAATAGTCCATTTATATATAAAGTAGTTAAATTTAGCTCTATCTTGAGCAGCCCCAACAATAAAATCAGTATTTTGATACTTTAAGGACATTTCACTGATAATACTTCTTTATTGTTTTACTACAGTAGGACTTTGAATGCATGACTTACATAATATAGTATTTTTACATCGTAGTACTATTACTTTAAGTTAAGATGTGGGTACTTCTTCCACCATTGCCAAACACTATAATTTTCTCCTAGTCTATCTTTTTGTCTTTGACATAATGGTCAAATTTGTGTTTACTACCTGATTTTAGCCTGGCCACATGCAACCTGTCAATAGGAACAGGCTGTGAAGTGTGTAGAAGAAACTGCAGTTGCCGCGAAACTCACGAGAAACGCAAAAGGTCCTATCTAGAGCCAGTGTTTGGTTTGTCCATTCTGGACCACTGTAGAAACATGGCAGTTCAACACAGCAGACTCCATGGAAGGCGACCCATTACGTCTGCAGATAAAAACAGCTCATTCTAAGGTAAGTTAACGATTCTTATATTCAAGTCATTATACATTAATGAAAACATACCTATGAATATTATATTCCATTTCTGCCAATAGATCCTCCTAAATGTTACACACTGGACCTTTAAGTGAGAGTGATCTTGGGGGAAACCCAGGGACCCAGGGAAGTGATTTATTGTCATTAGTAAAAATATTTCTATGTTTCAATGTAGTTCCTTTTCTGGGATTTATGAAGCCACAATTCAAACAAGATTTCCTGACAATCTGAGATACACACAGTAGCAGTATTAACAATATGATGAAATAAAAGACCTATAACTGCTCTGACAGGGATTCCTGCTCTGTTCTGCTTTAATCTATCCTACATATATTTCTATGATTTTAAAGAGAGAGAGAGAAGACCTTGTGCCCTGACACACTCTCTGTCAAAGAGCCATATTCTCACACCATTGGCTTTCAATTAACTGCAGCAGGTTACAGAAATGAGAGCGTGGGGTTGGGGGGAGGGGGGTGTACAGCAAGAGCGAGAGGGTATAAGAGAGAGAAATAGAAGAGAGGCAGGGACAGTACAGGAGGAGGGAGGGGGAGAAGAGAGATGTGGATCCAGTGACCCGTAGAACGACAAAGCATTTCACCCTTTTTTCTCCCAGGAGATTTGTGTGTGAATCTGTGTGTGTAGGCATGCGTTTGTGAACGTGAGTGTGTGAGTGCATGTACTGTATGAAACAAAGCTCCTCAAGACGACCACTAATTGGTTTTTCACTGTGTGCAAGCGAAGCTTACATTCATATTGCAGCAAATGCCATCAGAAGCAATTACAGGTTCTTTTTTTTTATTAAATCAGTTAAAAGCTCTAAACAGCCCATGTAGCATGAAGATACATGTGCAGTAGATTATTTTTATTTCAGGCAAAGGTATTTCCTTTGCTGCATGTCGTCCTTTCCCACCCCCATTTGCTGTCTCACTTGGGCTGTCCTATTGAACAACCATGTAAAAAAAATAATAATAACAATAAAAGCTGTAGATTCATGTTTATCCAAAAGGATGCAAAAGAAAAGACGATGTTTAAATCAAAAATCTACCATTTGATTTATGTAACAATGGAAACAACAGGCTCCTGCGACTGCTGCAGTGCTGATGCTTGTAAGATGAGACATGACTATGATGGATTCATGCACAACTACTCTGCTGATGGAGATTCCTACTTGCTCCCTTGGCAAAACATGTATTAGGTTTTTGTGTGTGTGATTGTTTTTATAACACATCCTTCAAATCCATCAGCCACATCAGTTTCATAATGCATGCTGTGCATCTATTCATATGTATGTGTATGTACTGTTACCCTCTTATTATGTCCTCTCGCCCTGACTGGTTTAATCTATGGCACAATTCAAGCATGGTAGACACACACACACACACACACACACACACACACACACACACACACACACACACACACACACACACACACACACACAAGCCACCTAATTGGTAGCATTTAATGACAAGTGGCCTGGGATTTGGCCAAGTGGATCTATTCCAATCTAACCCTAAAGTGAAGGGCACTTGTTTTCCATTCATCTACTCCATCTCTCTATCCATCAGCTCTTCCTCTGTCACCCCCATCCTTTTATTTGCCACCCTTTCCTCCATTACCTTCATTCATTCCTCCACTCCTCAATCCCTCACTCCCCTTCTATTCTTTCCATTTTAAGTTGCTCTCACTTTATAATCATCCCTTCATCTTGCCTTCTATTTCATTCCCTTTCTCCCTCATTATTTTTATCCTTTCATCCTTTGCTGTCTCCCTTTTGCCCTCCATATATCCACCCATCCATCCCACCATCTATTCAGCCTTCCTTACATGTATTGATCCCTTCATCCATCCTTGCCTCTCAGCCCCTCCATGTGTCTCTCTCTTGTTAAAAAGCTGCGGAGGTCACAAATAGTCCAGCAGCCACTAACATGCTGATGCTTTGTTTTCCACTTTCCTTCACACAACTACAAACACTTTCACTTGACACGTACATACAAAGACTAACTTGAAACACACACACACACACACACACACACACACACACACACACACACACACACACACACACACACACATACAGAGCTGATTTATGACTGGTGTCTCTGGGCTTTGTTGTTGGCTCAGAAGCTAATTGCATTCTATTTAACAGACCATCAGTGGAGGGAGATATTGGCAGAGACAGAGAGTGATGGTGTGTGTGTTTGAGAGTGTGAGGGTGTCGTGGGGGTCAGTAGCTGGCATGGACAGGAGACTGGCTTTACTGACACTATCTATCGACGTGTACATGTACATCTTACATGTTACACTGTGATAGCACACACAAGCCTGAACAATTAAATATTTGTACATTGCTGTGCTCAACATGGCCAAATGATACTTGTGACTCATGTGTATTGTAACGTACATATCACATGATGGTCTGTGCTACTGTAGATAACTGAGCTGGTCTGAGCACTAATCTGAGTATGTCAAAATACTGTGCCATACTGTGCCATACACCCTTTGTCCAATGTGTTAAACAATTTCTAATAAAATATAATTTCACAACACCATTTCAGAGCTGTCAGTATCTTTATAAATAAAAAAATGCCCTTCCCTCCCAGTAAACAGCCACATGAAGAGCTAAAGGGCTGTCAAAATAAAAGACGACCACTTTCAATTACTGTTACATGTCCTGATGTGATCAGGCAGTTGATATGGTAATTTGTTTACCAGAGGCCACCTATTTAAATCATCAATCAGCCATTATTGGTGCCTAATTGGTGGCCAATTATCATTTGATGGAATACTTCTTTTTAGAGAAAAGAAAAGAGAGGTAGCAAGGAGTAAACAGAGGCAGAGAAAGAGACAGCATTCCCCGTCTTACAGCTATCCTCTATCCAAAATAACAACGCCTTCCCAATTCACCAATTCACTGGGGACCTATTCATTTACTCTGCTACCTCCAGCAACACACACACACACACACACACACACACACACACACACACACACACACACACACACACACACACACACACACACACAGAGCTAAATCCCTTAAGATCCAATCCTTGGAGCATGCAGTAAAAAATTCCTGCACTGATAGAAACTCCCTTCCCCCAGTGAGGGAAAGCGTACACACACACATGCACACACACACGCACACACACACACACACACACACACACACACACACACACACACACACACACACACGTATAGCATGTCTCTATCCTCTAGCCCAGCGTCCCCAGAGGGCCACTGCAGCACAGGGAAGATGGAGGCCTACTATGCGAGTGTGACATATTCACAGACAGATTGGTACTAATGAAATATATTGCTCTCATGCACATTAGCAGAGGTAAAGAAAAGGTCAGTGTGGGGACTTTGTGTGGAGAAAGAGAAGAGAGGAGAGGAGAAGAGGCATATAACCGAACAATAGCGTAGGAGGAAAAGAGTGGAAGAAAGTAGAGAGCGAAAGAAGATGCAATTAAACAAAAGCAGAGGAGAGCAGAATGAAGAAGATGACCTGAAGGATAAAATAGGAGGATGTGGAGAGAGAAAGGGATCAGGTGAGAGGAGATGTGGTGGACACAGGGATTTTGCTGTGTGCAGACAGTGAGCATGAGGGACCTGCTGTGTGTGTGTGTGTGTGTGTGTGTGTGTGTGTGTGTGTGTGTGTGTGTGTGTGTGTGTGTGTGTGTGTGTGTGTGTATGTGTGTGTGTGTAATAAGAATGTCTGTATGCAGTTCACGTCTGAGAGTAAAGACCAAGAGAGCCATGGGATTTACCAGAACTGCATGGCTGCATCCATCGGCCATAAACACACACACACACACACACACACACACACACATGTCCACACTTTACCAGAGTCAAACATTTTACATTGTTTTTTTGCCAATTAAACTTAAATCCTCCAACATACAACCACACAAATGACAGGAGAATGCAGACAAACTGTGTGTGTGTGTGTGTGTGTGTGTGTGTGTGTGTGTGTGTGTGTGTGTGTGTGTGAAGTTTTCAACAGCTAACAAAACCAACACACTGACACTTTTTCACTCTCTTTTAAAGAGGAAATTACATATCACAGCGTGGAGGGGTTACAGTAATTATACAGCCGAAAACAAGAAAGAAAGACTGACAGCTATACAAACACACACACACACACGTACACACACACACACGTCCACTGACAGTGACACCTGCACCATTAAACAAACCGTGTTCTTTCACTTACAAGGTTGATGCTCATAAATTGGCTGAAAGACAACTCGCTGTATGTTTGGAATGTCAACCAGATGTGCGTGCGTGTGTGTGTGTGTGTGTGTGTGTGTGTGTGTGTGTGTGTGTGTGTGTGTGTGTGTGTGTGTGTGTGTGTGTGTTTGTGTAAAATGGCCTTGTTACCTGACAGTTGAGGGGGTCATAGAAAGAAAGCTAAAGAATGAGTGTGTGCACATGTGTTTGTGTGCGTTCCCATATAATTTACGAGTTGCGCCTGGTCACTGGTGCTTTGAAAGACAGTCTGCTACACTGACCTATGTCACTCATATATCAAACACAGACACACATTGCATTATCTGCAGATTTTGAGAACACACAATCGCAAAAGGCAGGAATGTGCACAACAAGAGCATAGAGTATGTGTGAAAGTGAGGGGGAAAACCATCATTTAAAATGTGATTTAAAGCAGTTCATTAGATACGACATTTCAGCAATACTTCAGACACTGTGACACACTCATAGTCTTGTGTTAGCCATGAATAATTTACTCATTCATTTTGAGTCTGCCATGTTTATTCATCAATAATTTACCCATATTACCCATGTCTTATTTATGTTGCGTCGCTCTGCATTTCTCTAGATTTGATTACACAGCTCATCGACAACTGGTGACTGGATAGTACACTTATGTACAATAATAGAATCCTATTCCTTTTCCCCTCCACCTTCATCTTCCAGAGTAGTTGTTTGTATGTCCGTTCATTCCTTCTGCTCTATTAGACAACTTGAGAGACATCAGTATGACAGTCAGAAAGTGTGGATGACAGCACCCGAACCCAGGATGAACTAAACCCAAGGATTAATCTTCCACAAATGAGCAATCTCATCTCTTTGTTTTTACGAAATGCTCAGCATTCGTTGTAATACTGATTCTTCTAGGCCCTATAATGTCACTAAATCTTACAAAGGTAATGCTTGTTAGAATAAACAAAACACAGTACCACAATGTTCATATAACAATGATTCAATTACTTCCTGTGGCTACAGATATACAGATATACCTCTGTATGTGCTTTTTTTAACCCATTCAGCCACATGTCTTCAGTTCTCAGATGACACTAAAGTCAAATACAATAGAGAATTGTAAAAAAAGAAAACAAGTGTCTATAAGTGGATGCTAGGATGTTAGTGGGGGTTTAAAAACACATCCTAAGTCCCAAATGACAACATAAGCCCAGCAGACTCATCAGTAAATCTGGAGATAGAGTGCAAAATAAATTTGTAGTAAAAAGTATTGTACCTGATCAACTTTAGTCAACTATAGAAGCCAATTATCATACAATTATTGTGCAGCCCCCCTTGACCATTATTATATGAGAAGGTATTCTAAATAAAACATCTGTTGGCACTGTCAGGTGACACACTCCGGATGTGTATGTAAGTGCTGAATGTGGTGCTCTGATCTCAATGCATCTTACCTGGCAAAGAAGGAGGCAGCAGCAGAGGTGGTGGTAGGTGCCGTCGTGGTTACAGCCGGAGTGTGAGAGGGAGAGTTTGTGTGTGATGTTGAATTTGTGTGTGAAGGAGAGTGTGTGTTGTAGCGGTTCAGGGCAGATTCAGTCAAACCTTCTCTGGAGGCCTCAGAGACCATCTGGGAGATCTGTTGAGAGACAGAGAGAGATTCCTTTCTGATGACTTTTATCATGTACTTCATGACACAGTACACACACGCACGCACACGCACGCACACGCGCGCGCGCACACACACACACACACACACACACATATACACACACACACACACACACACACACACACACACACACACACACACACACACACATATACAGTACAGTACAGCACTATATCTGAGTCTGGTTTCCCACACCTATCATGTTAAAGAATAATTCATGTCATGTGATTTTTGCATTCTGACGGATTTTTGGCCTCAGACATACTGAAATTCCAACAACTTTAAAAATATCTTTTAAACGACTTGCAACACTGTCACATTTTATATGAGATTTATATTTATTATTTGAAATAAATAAAACTTTTGGAAAGTAAAATATCTGTTAACTGTTTAAGACCTCTATCTTGAACATGACATAGTTCACTTAATACATTTTTTATTCATGTTCATTTCAAGTGTGTGTTTGTGTGTGTGTGTGGGTGTGTGTGTGTTTCTTGGCAGACAGACAGCAGATAAGCTCTCTAGTGATCACAGTAAACCAGCAGCAGAATGTTGTCTGGGTCCCAGATAGGGTTACCAAAAACAAACAAATAAACAAACACATCCTCCTGCCTCCTTTAACCTAATGCCTTCTCCTTCTCTTTCACCCTTACTTCTCTTCTTTTCCATCCCTCTCTTTACTCGTTTTTGTTATTGCTTCTGACTTATTCAATTTCATTCTCTCTGTCCCTTTGTCTGCCAACTTAAGTTATTCACATTTGCCCTTTATTATTGGATCATTCTTCATGGCACTTATTAAATAGTATGTAGGGAAGAAGGACAGTAAGGACAAAGAGAGACCTTTGAACTTATAACACTGTAAAGAAATGAAATTTTCTGGCCTTTCATCATTTTACTTTTATTACACAGCTGATAGTGTAGGTACAGACAGGAGATGTGGAGAAAGAAAGAAGGTCCCTGCGTGAACATTGCATTCTACCATTCTATGTTATGTGCCTTAAATTCAAATGCATCCTTTGTGCAAACACATTTAAAAAAGCACATTTCACAGTTTAAGATCAGATAAGATAAGATAAGTAAGATAAGAAGTACCTTTACTATTTACTTACTTACTAATTACAGTACAGGGGAAATGTAGTGCAAGAGTAGAGAAATAATACAATACAATATAATATAATAAAATACAAATATAATAACAATATAAATTATAAAAATATATTCACTATATACAAGATAGTGGAATTTGGTCCAGATGGATAACTGTACATGTACACAACAAAAGAGTTGTAGTTTATAGTTAACAGTTTCTTGTCCCAAATGTCAGCTGCTTTGTGTGTGTTGCACATTAGTTTGTCACTGTGTGCATAGATGTGTGTATATTATGTGTGTATGTCATGTGTGTGTGTGTGTGTGTGTGTGTGTGTGTGTGTGTGTGTGTGTGTGTGTGTGTGTGTGTGTGTGTGTGTGTGTGTGTAGCTGACCCATTTGTGAAATGGATATGGATTATTGATTATAATTTCTTATGTGCACCCAACAGCCAGACAGCAGAGAACCTAAATCGTTTCCCCACACTCCATTAAAGGAACTATAGCTTGTGTGAGAATGAAACTGCGAACATGTATGTCTATTGTGAATGTCTGCACGTGTGTCCTTGTGTGTGTATCTGTCTGCACTTCTCTAGTGTGTGTAAATCACCTCTACTGTGCGTATATTTACTGCTGAGGGCTTCTGGGGTCCACACATGCAGCCCACTGCCATGATAAATTACCTATGTAAATGAGATGCCTCTATAGTTTATATACCATTCTCCCTGTGCATTTACATGCATTTCAATGCTCAGACTTAGCTTTCTCCCCCTGCATTATTAAATGAATCGTGAACGTATGGAATAAAGGTTCAGTGAGCTACATGGAATACCTATGTATTTGTGCTGGTTACCCAGTTATCCTGATGAATAGGAAGAGGAAAACTACTTGCACAGTGCACGAGAAATGTCCCCACAGAGGGTTATTATGCGAGCTGGAAACTGGAGTAAAGGTGGCTGCATAATATGTGCCGGGCAGCAGTTCAGACTTCAGGGGCCGGTTATATGGACTATATGTTTTACTCAGCTACACCTCCCATTGTCATCAAAAAAGTGCAATAATTATATCCTTCATTCATTTCATACTATCATGAGATTCCAAAAGGTTTGCTGTGCTTCTCTATATCTGAAACAGCGGTGGGCTGATAGGTAATTATGCTTCATGTTCATTAAACCAGCTATTGTAAGATAGCTGTCAAATTATCTCTGCATCTGAACTACTGCACACAGGAAAGAGATGTGTAGCATACTAGTTCCTATCTGAAATGACATTCCTGCATGGTCACCTGGCTAATGCATTTACATGGATGGAAATTTGGGTAATGCAGTCATTGAAATAAATTATGTTTTTGTTGTTTCTGTTTGTACTGTAGGTCGTTACACTTTTCCCACAGGACATAAAGGCTGAGTTGCTAGCTCTACATTTCACCATAAATAAGATTAAATTACACTGGAAGAAACTTTAATGATCCCTATGGGGATATTATGTCATTGCAGCAGGAGAGAAAGGGATATAGATAATACCAGGACAAAGGTATATCGAGTACAGAGGATAATACAACAACCAAATGTGTCAAAAATAATGCAGCAAATCAATAAAAACACAGCATCTGACCATGTTTTCATAAAGCACATGGTCCTGAGATTGTGCCTGTCAATGTAGGACTTGATGATGAATGTGATATCAGATTTCCCCAGAAAGACAAAAGAAAACCCCCAAAAAAACACGTATTGTGTCACTTTCGCCCCTCCTCGTTCTCTACACTACAGCACTTATTCACACCCCCTCTCTCTTTGCACTTAGAAAAAGGTAAAAGCTGGCTCATTCATCTTCATTACATCACAAACGCCATTTCCTCCAGCATCTACCTTCCTCATCTGTCTCTCTTACATTTATTTTATTTTTCCATCTTTTTCCAATCACATGCTACAGGCATAGAATTTGTGCCTGAAATTTCAGGTTTGTGTGAAGAGGATGTAGAGAGAAATGGTGTGTTTGTGTGTCCATGTATGTGTGTGGTCCTGCCTGATTTATCAAGGGGATAGACACAATCTGTAAAACAATCTAAATGCTTACTGCAGTAGACTGGAGGAAGAGAGAGATAGAGCCTGGCCTTTCAGGCTGAAAGTGGGGGAGAAAATGGGGAAGAGAAAGGTAAGTGAGTGAATGGTACGGGTTGTTTATTCATTCAACATTACAGACAGAGACAGAGGTACAGAAACAGATGTGAGACAGACAGGGAAGGAAAAGAAAGCAAGTGAGTAGAACGGACACAGAAAACAGTCATGAAAAAGAAGACAACGCACACAAGGAAATTAAATGTTGAGGGGGAAGAGGCGAGGAGACAAAGAAATGACAGAGTGGGAGTCAATTAGAGAGAGCAAAGGTGAAACAGAGGAGAGTGGAAATGAATACCTGATGCTTTATATCAACACATATACAGTATGTTGTAAAAACAAAGTAGGAAACAGCCTTAAGACAAACAGTTAAAAGAGAAAATAATGACAAGAGGAAATGTAGTTTGATTTATGGAATATCGGATATCAGAGATAATAAGACATGCTCTCTGACACTTGAGATTCAAAATACACATTACTTTTCCTAATGCTGTTAGCTAAGCATGCACTTATCATTATGTCATGCAATTATTCAGCAACACAAAACTAACGACGTTGAGTATTGTCCTCACTGTTGGAAACTGAGTGTGTGCACTGCTCCCTCATAGAGAAACTCAAGGGGACCTTGGCTGGAATATTTAATGGCATGCATATTGTTTTTGTGAGTTTAGCTCAGCTTGCTTATGAGCTTTTATTGTAGCTAATGAGATGGGAGACTTTACACTCTATGTACCTGTGTTAGATTGTTACAGTATGTGTGTACATTTAAATTGCCAGCCAGTGAGCAGCTACTGTCGCTCTGATTTAACATTGCACTCTTGTAATACTGCTTGACTCAAGATGAACACTATTTTTTTTAAAAAGAAAGAAGATAATTAATGCAGAACATTTTTTTTTATTATTCCACATATTTTTCTTCCTTATGAAAATCTGGAGCTTACATTACCCATAATTCAACTGCAGACAGTTTAAGTGACATCACTTAAGGCAATTTATCAGACTTTGTGCAGCAGAGCCACAACAGGCGTTTTCACATGTGCAGTAGTACTCGCTCACACCTGTGCACAGAGTTTGATGTAAAAAAACAGAGCTCCCCTTTAAAGGCCTTCTCAGGGGCCCCACAGTGGTGGTAATAAGGGTGGGGCAATAGCTGCTCTTTCACTTTCCCCGCCTACATTTATTCTGCCGGAGACTGAACTGGTGACCTTTCGGTTACAAGCTTCTCTAACCTAATTAATCCTAAAGGATATCCAGCTAAGTCTGACAGTGTTTGGCAGCATTCTGCTGGAGCAACACACAGGAACACTGTAAATTAGGAAAGCTAATCTAACCATTGTTGAAATCGGTACACACACACACATACTCAGAGACACAGAGGAACACAGACACACCATATTGTATAAACCTGTTTTCAGTTAGCTGCTTGAAGGACAGAGCGAGGACAAAGAGACAATATTAGATTTGTTGTCTCATGCCAGGGAGAAAGCGAGAGTGAGAGAGTGATAGAGAGATCTAGTCCCTCTACACCACCACCACCCCAATGGAAAAAGCCTTCAAAAAATAAATAAGCAGTTGATGTACTTGATTTATTTTTACACTTTCTGCCAGTTAAAGGTACAGTAATGACAAATGTGACACACTTCATTGTGTAACAAAAGGACAGACTGGTTTCTGGGTGGTTTCTTTGAGTAAATGAAAGGACCATACATCACTGAGCTCACTGCTGTCTGACGTCACCCATTGCTTTGAAGCCTGGACCTTTGGTTCATGCTCACCAGCTTCTTGGTCAGTTACTGGACCCAGGAAATCAACATTTATCAACCAGCTGGATCCCAAATTAGTTCAAATGAAAGACTCTTCTTCAAATGCAGACAGACTGACCAGGTTTACCAATTTCCATATGCTATGCCACCAACATCTATGGTCCATTATGATATGTTTAATACTACTTACACTTTACTGTGTTTGTACTTGTTTTTTTAATCAATATTAAAATATTTGTGACCTTCATCGGCTCACTGATCCCAGTAAGCTACCTGAGAGATTCACCCTCAGTCCTTTATAATCAGTCTTCCTTGTTCCGACTGAATCAGCGTTTCCCCTTTGTCCTAGACTTCTTGTGGGACAAGAAAGAAAAGTCCTAATAAATATAAAATGTGGAGGTTGTCACCTCTTAGACTGCTGACCCAGCAAGGTTTTAATGTCAACTACACTGGAGGAAGACAGGTTGCCTGTCTACCTCTGTGTCCTCCTTTTATTCTCAGGCTCTTGCTGTTCTACCTCTAAAGGTGACTTTGATAATGATTTTACTAATTTAAATTATTGAATCGAAAAAGACATACCAGTGTTGTTGTTGGTAGTGCATCTGAAGAGTAAGACCACATTTCCCATAAAGCCAACTGATTCTTGGCGAAGACTTTCAATTTAAACTCTATTGACTTTCCCTGGAGTCGCTGTACATGTGTTTGTTTTCTCTTTCACTTTGAGGAAGAGTGTGAACATGTTGGAAGAGATTCCTCATTTGGTGTGTGTTAGATCATTTGCCTTTGTAAGACTTTGTGACAGCTCATGAACAGCAGACTTTTAGGTTTTAGACATAGCTAGTCATCCCAGCAATGTGTCCCTATAAACTGATGTCTCCATAATAAAATGTCTCTTATTCTCATTTTCTTTCCTTCCTTTCCTTTCCTTTATCCTCTACATCTCTCACTCTAATCTTTCTTCATTTTTCTGTTTCCTACTTTCATTCCCATTTTTTGATCGTCTCTCTGCTCAGCTCCTCCCCCCTTTTCTTCCTCTCTCAGGGGTGAGTCTAAACGAGGGTGATTTATTATCGTGCTCTGTTTCTCCTTTCTTGCTGAAACACCATTATTGTCAAAGTCACAGCGCACTCAGACTCTCGAACATTTTACACCTCACAACACAGATACTAACTCACATACAGAACAGAGATATAAAGATATACTTTCACACTGCAAACATGCATCCAGTGTTTGTACACTATAAAACTTAACTACATGCACGCATGCATCAATACTGACACAAAGAAATGCATGCACACAAGCAAATTACATACACACTTACTGTTTGCACAAAAGCACACAGACACACTCTCTGAAATATAAGTTGTATTGCACAAAGACATTCATACACAAATACACTGGCATACAATATTATGAAAGACAAAGGGAAAAGCAGCATCTTGTTTTCAAGGGAAATATGGTCAAAAATGGATAAACGTTGCAGAGCAACTGACTACCTATGTCAAAGTAATATAAAAGAAGAGGAAAAAGGAAAAACAAAATCATTCTTTATTATCTAATAAATTGAAATTCGGGAGAAGAGCTCCTTCTGATTTGAACACTGACATTTCCACAAAGAACGGCCAGAATACATAACAGTTCTCATGCCTAATTTATTTCTGACCAGCAGGACAAGATAATGAAACAATTCCAGAGATTGTATAAAGTAATTTTCACCTACGACTCCATATCTCTGCATCTGGTTCAAGTCATGGGGCTGAATAAAAATATAAAAAGAGATGGGGAACAGCAAGATAGACGACGGGGTGAATATGAAACAGACAAAGTGTGAGAAAGACAGGAGAAATAATAGGGGAGATAGAAAGAAAGCGGCATGAGCAATAAGTAGAGACAGAGTGTGTGTGAGTGTGTGAGTGAGAGTGAAAGAGTGAAGGGGTACTGGGGGTGTATGACATAGAGTCCCCTGAGTCCTAATTATCACTGTATGAATTATTACATCTGTAGAACACGTTCATACACACATGTTAACACACACACACACACACACACACACACACACACACACACACACACAGAGAGAGAGAGAGAGAAAGACACTCACACACACACACCTCTGGATCTCCCCTGGAGTCTAAGCTCTCCTGCCTCCCTCTGTACACCTCTAGACCACGCGTCACCTGAGGCGTTTTCTCCCTCCTACCATCTTCCTGTCTTGTCTACTTACACTCCCTCTCTTCCTGTTTCCTCCTAAAATCTCTTCTATTATCTCGATTTTCAGTTCGAATAACTTTTAAGGTTTGTAAATGTTCTGCCTCAATCCAGCTGAAAAAGATATTTTGTTTCCCTCTTGATAAGAGATGGTTATCAAATCCAAGAATTGTAAGTCGATTATTGCGTCCTCATGGAAAGCCCTTTTTGAGTAAAACAGACTTCAAAATGTCTCTTTGCAATAATTTAATAATTATAATTTAATAATAATAATTTAATTGACAGTAAATTGCTAATAAATATATTAAAAATATATTTCTATGTGTTAAGGCTGAACTGAGTTACGACTCCCAGAAGGAGTGTGAATTTTGATACAAAGTAAGGGTTTTAAAGTACCTTAATGGTATCTTTGCCTCAGAGCTTCACAGTTTGAAAACGTCTGTTTTAGTGGATACTGAGGCCTTGCCTTGAATTTCCCTCGGGATAAATAAAGTATCTATCTATCTATCTTTGCCGTCCCAGTCACCAAGTTAACAAGTCTGAAGCAAGCTCAGTTTTTTTGTGGGTAAATTTCCTGAAACTTTACAGTCCCCCCCACCATCCAATTCGGATTTGACAGTTGTCTACATCAGCAATAACATGACAGTGGTAAAAATGACCTCATGTCGTTAATTTTGTTTTCCATCAATACTTTTTGTGCTTCTCCCAAAAAGTCTCTAGACAAATGTAACCAGTTTCATGTGTTACTCAAAAAAACTCATGTTTTATATCCAAATGATAAAAGTTTTTTTTTTAAATTAAGTTCTTAAAGCTGTTTCTGTTCCACTGACTATGCATGCCATTCCTTCTTTAATTTTTGTTCAAGATGATGTGTCTACCTTGAGGCCTTGTATGATGTGTGTCCTTTTCTTATTAAGAACACACAGACGCACACATGGACACACACTTTGCCTGGGGTAGATGCAACATAGCTTAGGCTGACTTTGTATAAACTGAGGAGAGATGAAACAAGACAAGTGGGAGAAAGTAGAGAACAAAAGAGAAATAAATAAAGCAATTAAACAGAGGAGAGCAGAAGAGCCTGGATGTTAATGTTGAACACAATATCTCAGATGTCAGGTATTATCAGAGGTTGCTAGCTAACAAGGTCAGACTACAGTAAGTAGACTGCAAGTTGAAAATTTAAAATGTCCTGTCTGTCAGATAACAAGAGATGTATTCATCTGCATGCTGGTAGCTTGTTACCATTTGATATTATCGTATAAGACCAGAATACATTTATTCAGTTTCTATGGTAATATTTGCAGTTCCTCGTGGGGGAACTTGCTCTACGGAGTTTCATGTTACTGTAAGGCACGCACACACACACACACACGCACACACGCACATCTGTTTAGATGGCTTACCTGGTACGGATACAGTGTAACTCCTCCATTAGTCCGGTTCAGGTGCTGATGGGCCTGCAGAGCTGCTGTGCTCAGTACTGCTCCACTCCCATTATTACTGCTGTTACCACTATTATTGCCAGGGCTCTTTACTGCAGCCGCTGGTTGCTGTTGGGCACCAGCTTTTGCTGAACTTGGGGACCCATTCCTTCTGTCCATCCCACCTCCAAGCCCCAGGGAGCTGGGCTTGGACCCCAGCCTGTGCCCTAGGCCTTGAGGTTGTGGGTTTGTGGTAGCACAGCTGGATGTTTGCCCCACCGAGGGACTTCCATGGCTGGGGTTGGATGGTCCATGGCTCGGGCTGGGCGTTGGGGTCTGGCTGGGGCTTGGGGAGGGCGACTGGGAGGATGGGTGAGGAGGATGTGAAACGGCAGCAGCAGCTGAAGATGAGGAGGAAGGGATAAAAGGAGGAGGCCACTCCCGTGACCCAGGACCTCCTGGTGCTCCAGATGCTCCCATTGAACTGGGAAGTCCTTGAGATCCATATCGTCCAATCAGGGCCGTAGGGGAAGAGGTGGGAGACAAATCCCACTGGTCGAGAGTGAGGACCATGCGCACAGCTTCCTGTTTGAGCTGAGTGAGGTGAGTGGCGCAGACATCACAGCGACTGTCACGTTCATTCCACGCCCGCCGAGAACTGTTGGGCACCTGAAGCTTATCATGAAGAAGGAGAGAGAAGGAGGGATCCTGGAGGGAGAGAGAGAGAAACAGAAAGCAGGGATTTAGACTGCTGTCTGGAAGAATGAATGGGAGCAACATGAAGCAAGAACAGCATGTTTTGAGCTGCTGGAGAGGGAGAGGAGAGGAGAGGAGAGGAGAAGAAATGATTGTTTATTGAACAAATCATGACAATGAATATTTATAGAAAATCCCAGAAACATTGCTGTGTAGCCAGGAAGAAGATGTGTAAAGAGGCACACATACCCAGAGAAGGACAGGCAAAAGCAAGTACAGACATAGAAAAACACACGCACACACACCGCGCACACACACCGTACACACACACACACACACACACACACACACACACACACACACACACACACACACACACACACACACAATAACACACAATATACTCCAAAGAGAGTCCAAAGGGTAAAAGTGTCACAGAAGCTGGCAGCAAGGAGAGTCCTCTAATACAGAAATGAAACCTCTTGCCTCTGGCTTTCCTCTCCCTTCTTTTCTTTTTCACATTCTTATAAACATTGTGTTCACCTTTAAATCATCTGTAAAGCATCTTGGTGCAATAAAACAGCAGCCATTTGTTCTTAATACAAGAGGTTAATTGCTTGGCTATCAATTTGTAGTGATGTGAAATTACAAAATGTATCTCCCATAAAAGGCAATAAAAACTATTTAATTAAGAGGGAACAGCACAAACTATTCCCTTTTACATTCATGCCTCAGAAAGTTCAAAATATTTAAAATAAATTGTAGAAAATGTCACACACACATTAAATAGCATCCTAGTTGCAATCATTAAGCCTATATGTAATGATATCAAAACTAATGTCAACTGAAACAGCACTCAGCAAGTAAACATTCCCTGACATTTTAAGCATTGTCACCTGCAGTTAATCTTCTCAATTTAAAATACATTTTTCTATTGCTCTGTAGTTGAATTAAGGTGTGACACTAAGTGCAAATGGTCTACTTGCAGGCCAATAGCAGCCAGGACAAAAGGGCACTTTTGGGAAAAACTATAAGCAAAAAGTGCAAAGCATGAGGTCTTGGACACAGACTGTGTGGGTGTCTTCAAGCTTCAAGTGCAAAAGGGCTGAATGAAGTGTTGATCCGAGGGTTTGATGATTCATAAATATGCTCTTAGCCAGTCACATCACAAATCTCATCTTTCTCAAAGTGCTGAGCCAATCACAGTGACACATGACAACAACAGCTCAACATATGAAGAATCTGCTTCTCCAGAAAATCATATTGCTGTGTGGCACGATTTGAGTGCACAGAACCACAAATCTCAAATCTCACGTCACAACTGGTCACTTACTGACGTAAAATGTGACAACAGCATTTGCATTGTTAAGGATATTAAGATTAAAACATGAAACTGTTTCACAAACATTTCATGGTCAACTCAACTATCATGGCTCAGTATTCTGAGGCTGTTAAAGAATATCTTTACTTGTGTAACCCATCAGCTTCTAAACACTCATAACACACATAACTACAACTGTTGCACTTTTAAAACATTCACAGATGTGTGCCCTTACTGGGATTGACATAACAGTCAATATGATGCTGCAATGGATATATGTATATGTGAACATGGCAGAACATTTAATTTCACCTTTTCTGATGAGTACAGACTGCCGGGTTTCTAAGAACGCTCATTTAAAAAAATTATCAGCATTCATGGTATTTCATATAAAAGCACGAGACAAATGCAATCTTTTGCCATTCTGCATAAAATGTTTAAACAGAATCATTAAAAACTATTTAATTTTCTCTCCTCATGTAGGTCCACAGTATGTTTTTCACAGGTCTCTCTGCCAGTGTCTGTCTGGTGAATGTGCGTGTATGCGTGTGTTTAAGCAATCATAGTGTGCTTTCTTGCATTCAGAAATCCGGATATTTGTCACATTTGTTTGCACAGTTATCTGTGCCTGTGTGCAATAATGCATGTGCGTATACAGGTATGTGTTGTGTGTGTGTGTGTGTGTGTGTGTGTGTGAGTGTGTGTGTGTGTGTGTGTGTGTGTGTGTACGTGAGCATGTATTTTTTCCAGACTAATTGGAGCCACTCGTACAGAGCAAAGCCACTCTAAATCTCCTGCCACGATTCTCTGGTCTAAATATCAAAGTTAACAAGCAAAGCGCACGCACACATCCCGATACAGATCTTTGTCTAAACCTCAGTTGACCTCACTGAAAATATTTTTTCCATTTTTTCTTCCACCAAGCATTAAGGGCTTTATCTAACAAAAGGTCATTAAATAGAAATTGTTTTTCCTTATAAAAACATTTTTTTACTCGAGGCCCTTTAGACTGATGGTGGGATTAGAATGGCCGAGTGTGATATTGTGGGCTAATTGTCAGCTTAAGTGTAGGTGTAGTGTCAGTGTATTATCAGCGGGTGTATGTCTGCTTAGGAGCCCTGTACTTCAACAAAACATCTGTAGTAGGTGGTGCCAATTCACTTGAAAACTGTAATTACATTCCCGCTTTTAGCCCAGCCCACCTCTTCTTTTACACTGAAGCCAGGTATCTGTATAGGCTTGCGCCCTTTTCAGCACAAGTGTTAGTTACAGCAAACTGAGTGTATGGTTACATGTAAAAACCACCTCATGCTGTTTTGCCTTGGGTTAGACAGTAAAGACCTTATCTGAATGTGTGCAGCCTACACAAGAATGAAACGTGGTACTTTTCTTATGCTATTCTGAGCACATTCATCCCCACAGATGACATGAAATCTTTTCTCTGAAACTGCTTTCTCCTGAATGACTGCTTTTAGCAACTGCTCATGCATCTCGAAAGCAGAGCCATTACATTCACTATTTTCTCAAAAAACAGGGTAAAACTTTCCAAGTAAATGTTCCACAATTGCAGCTGCATTTTCCATCAAATTGATTTAACAACAGAATCAAAACGGCGTAAAGTTTAACACTGACGTATGATGTAGTGTCAGAATAATAGGTGCCTTAAAACAATCACTAATTAAACATGTTGATCTAATCATTAAAAACATCACCCTAAACAATTGTTCAACATGCTTTTATTTGAATATCTCAGCACATCATGCCAGAGGAAGAAGCTGTGCATGTACAGTATTAATCAAAGCGATGGGTAGACTCTCTTTGCTTAGTGAAGCTTAATCAATACATGACTTACTGAGATGCAGTATATGTATGTGCATCTAATCAATAGGCATGTGATGGACATGGTTTATCTCTCAGTAGATTTAGACAATCAGACATTAAGATAAAGAGACAGATGACTGACAGAGAAGACGGAAAACGGAGGGACACCTGGGAAAATAACGAGTGACTGACAGGAGGAAAGGAATTCAGATACATGAACAGGCAGCTTCCTTGCCAACATACAGTAAACACATCCTATTTACATGGGTTTATAATTAACTACTTGTTTATCCTTTTCCACATTGACAAAACATCCTTACAACTATAAAAAAATAACTGCATATCAATTTTCACTCCAACGTTTCACTGTACATTGTCTGGATCTGTGTGTATGTGTGTCTGGTCAGCCTCCTTGGTGGTCCTTATGCTCATAATGCAAGGGAGTTAGCAAGAAAAAGAGAGTGAATGTGACGTACTGTCTGCCACACACAAATAAGCCTCTATCAATAACAAGCCTGTTACCTTTCCTCAATCAATATACTGTCTGTACTGTCTGTGTGTGTCTGTGTGTGTGTGTGTGTGCCTGCTCGGCTATATCAACAAACCACAAGACCACAAGATACACACACACACACACACACACACACACACACACACACACACACACACACACACACACACACACACACACACACAAAACGCATGGCGGGATCTCAAACCTTGGCAAGCATCTGAGCGGTGTGAATGTGTGTGAATGTGTGTGTGTGTTTATGGATAAAGGCTACCTTGTTACTTGGGCAAACTAAGTAGCATAATGAATAGAATATGTTTTTTTAGACATATACATACTGTACACCCGTAAGCATAGACATATTCCTGGCTGGCATGAGACACCACACACACTCCAAGCAACATAAAATAAGCTACTAGTGTGTCTCTCTCTCTCTCTCTCTCTCTCTCTCTCTCTCTCTCTCTCTCTCTCTCTCTCTCTCTCTCTCTCTCTCTCTCTCTCTCACACACACACACACACACACACACACACACACACACACACACACACACACACAAAGCAAACATATTTGCAGGTTGACACGCATGAGAAGAGGCCGACTGGAGGAAAGAAAACTGAGATTGGGGCAGATTTAAAATGCAGTTGACTATTTATGAATGCATTCATTCAATTTTTCACTGTATGTTCAATAATCCTGCTTAGCCACAGGGTTATGACACATTTTCTGCTAGGTGCAACAAATTTGTACTGAATTTGCTGCATCCAGCTAAGGGAGGGAGCTGCGAAGATAGCAGCAGTGATAACAACAACAGAACAGTTCCTCTCATGTTCTTAATGAGTTCTCCCTGTGTGACTAAAATACTCACTCTATAAAGTCTGTTTCCCTTCATTTCTGAGACTGATACTAAAAGCATTTATTGTAGATGGCTGAACATTGCTCTGCTATGAAACCTTATTATACTGAAAATATGTCGTGTCACGTCAACTGCATTTGGCCAGCAGGGGACGAGTGCTTCAACATGTGCAAACCAACGCACAAAGTCTTGCAAAACCAACCGGTATGTGTGCAAGGATTTAGAAGGAAGTCGCCTGTTTCGCCATATTGTGGTAGAAATCTGGAACACAGTTGGAACACACAGAGATGAACAGGAGAAAAGTGCGTTATGGAGCAGAGGAGATTTTGTTATGGATATTTTTGCTATTAGAATCCAGTGTGTGGATTTGTGCAGCAACATTCACTGAAGACTTATGTAAAAGGGATGATAAAACAATAAAAAGTTTGCAACCAGTGCAAGTGAACATGGGCTCATTTTATTGACTTTTATTATTATAAAATGTGTTTGAGATAGATAAAAATAA